TCATGCCCCGCGGTCCCCCTCCAAAACCCCCCCCCCCCCCCATCCTCAGGCCATGCAGAGCAAAAGGGACCTCGCCGTCACCTGCAGCCGCTGGCAGAGGACGGTGCAGGAGGGAGGAGGTGTCCCCATGCACCATCCTGCTCCCCGGGGCACGGGGACAGCCCGGGAACCTCAGGGGCTGCCCCTTGCCTGCGGGTGGAAACGCCAGGCAGAGGTTGCTCAGGCATCCCCTGGCTGCAAACAAGGGCTCCCAGGGGCCACGGCGGGGCGGGACGGTCGGGACGGTTTTCCAGGCAGCATTGTTCGCGCCGAGCAGAGGAAGCCGCTTGGAGCCACCCCAGCCCATTTCCAGGGCAGTGGCGTCCCGCCCGTGGCCGCGCTGGCCCATAAATCACCGCGGAGGGAAAGCACCAGCGCCCAGATTTCCTGTCACCCGGCCACATCTGCTCCGCTGTTGCATCAGCTCCGAGAGTAGAAGTCTCTGCCCACGTCCTCCCGCCACGGCAGAGACCCCCGGGGCAGCCCCGTTCCACACCCCCAGCAGCATAGCACTCACTGCAAGAGCAGCCCTGAGGCAAAGTGGTGTCCAGGCTCCGTCCAGGGGACACGGGATGTCACAGAGCTCTGGTGCGTGCTTTCCTTGGTCAGACATCACACTGCACACATCCAGCCTCTGCCACCGAACGCCATGCCCCGCCACGCCAAGCCACCCCAGGAAGGGACGGGCCAGCGCCCGCGTCCTCTCAGCATCACACCAAGCACACACACGTCCTGCCCCTACTTGCTGGATCACACACCTACACGCTCAGCCCCTGGCAAGATCACAGAATCCAAAAACAGTTCAGGTTGGAAGGGACCCTAAAGAACATCTGGTTCCAACTCTCCTGCCGCAGGCAGGGACACCTCCCACTACAGCAGGTTGCTCAAAGCCCCATCCAACCTGGCCCTGAACACCTCCAGTGATGGGGCATCCACAGCTTCTATAGACAACCTGTTCTCTTGTCTCACCACCCTCATAGTGAAAAATTTCTTCCTGATATCTAATCTAAATCTCCCCTCTGTCAGTTTAAAACCATTATCCCTCGTCCTATCGCTCCACTCCCTGATAAAGAGTCCCTCCCCATCTCTCCTGTAGGTCCCCTTTAGGTACTGAAAGGCTGCTACAAGGTCTCCCCAGAGTCTTCTCTTCTCCAGGCTGGACAACTCCCACTCTCTCAGCCTGTCTTCATAGGAGAGGTGCTCCAGCCCTTCCAGCATCTTCATGGCCCTCCTCTGGACTCACTGCAATAAGTCCATGTCCTTCATGTCCTGAGAGCTCTGAAGCTGGACACAGTACTCCTGCTGGCCAGGCTTCCTTTGATGACTCCCCTCAAGCCCACCAAATTTAAACCATCCAAGCAGCACCCCCTGGGAAGTGCAGATCTAAGGGTACTCAGCTGCAGGAATTTGGCCTCTGCCAAATGTGCATGACTAAGGGTGTGCCTGCCCTTGGTTACCCACCTCGCTGTGGGTGGGCACTGGGTGCCATCGATAATAACCCTCTCTCCTAGGGGAAATACCCCCCCAAAGGAGGGGTGGAGGCACGGCCAGGCGCATGGCCAGCTGCAGGACATAGCCACGGGGTGGGTTTGCAGGGGGTGCAGCTCACAGCAATGAGGGACACCCCCAGAGCCAGGGAAAACCAGAGGCACGGAGCAAAGGAAAGCGCCGGAGGGGGCTGCCGAGACAGTCTGCTCCCCGGGCTCCACGCAGCCCCACCCCAGAGACAACGCGGCTCATCCCTTAATTACCCACCCTGCCCGGGCAAGGCAGCTGGCGTGGGCCAGAGCTGGGTGCATCTTTTCGGGGTGGGATGGGAGCATCCCTCCTCCCAGCCTCAGCGCCGGGGGCCGTGCCGAACCGGCTCCGTGCCCTCGCACAGGTATTTCCACGTCCTGACGTCAGTGCTGCTTCCAGCCCGAGGCTTATCCAACAAAAGCAACTGTAGCTGAAGCCATGTCTCTGCAAAGGGCTGGGCTGTGCCCCATCCATCCCACCGCAGCCCTGGGAGGACGCGGGGAAAGGCTGACAAAGCCCAGCCCGGTGATAAAGATGCCAAATCCCCACAAAAACCCAGCGACAGGCATCCCTGGAGGAGAGGGATGCTGCCAGAGCAGCGACTGCAGATACGCTTCAAAGCAGTCGCAGGCACAAAAGAATGAATAAAAGAGATAAGAGCAGGGAAAGGAGCCTGGTTAAATGGCTGGAAACAAAGCCAAGAGTCCAGACAGTGGCAGCCTCAGCCCCTCCTCAGCCCCTCACCGTGTGGCCAGGAGATGGAAAAGGCAGAGGGATGGCTTGAGGAGCTCATGCCATGCCATGCCACCAGCCACGGTGCTTCACCAGCCCCCCAGAAGGTCCTGCACAGCCTTCACACCACCCTGTCCCCTCCTGCCCTCCTGGGGCATGGCCAGGCAGCTCCTCTCCCCACCACACAGCCTGTGCCGACGGTTACGCCACGCTGTGATTTTGTGGCCAAGACGTATATATTTAGCTCCTCCGCAGGCAGGCAGGCCAGGCGAGCCCTCCGGCCCCACGCCGCTCGCTCGCTGGGCTCCCTCCAAGTGCGCAACAAAGCCAGCTCAGTACGGCCTCGCCGGGGAGCGCGGGGGGGAAAACGAGGAATACCCCAGGCAAGGGGGGGCTCCCGCTTTCCAGGGCCTCACCTCCAGCCCAGCGGAGAGGCGAGGTGTTCCCCAGGACCCACCCGGGCAGGAGGGAGGGTTGTTTGATTTCCAGCCGCAGCCCTAATGCAGGGCATGGCTCCCGTCCATCCCGCCGCTCCCTGCCGACAAAACCTCACCTACTGCGGGCACTGCCCAGGCTGAGAGCCTTCAGCCTCCCGCTCTGGTTCAAGGGGGCTGGGGCAGCCTCCAGCCAAGTCCCCCCTCTATTTTCCGGGGGGCTGCTGTCCTACATCAAGCTGCATCCGCGCGAGATGTGCCCCCCCGGCTCCGAGGCCGGGGCCACAGGCAGGCACAGGAGCAAACCCTCTCCCTGGGTAATCGCTGGTCCAGAGCACCGTGCTCCTCCTGCACGCTGAGATACCATCTCTGGCGGGCAGCGCCAGGAGGATGAGACAGTTTCCTGGCCCGTGTCAGCGAGAGCAGGACTCGGAGACACACTGGAGCAGCCAAGCCTGTCTAAAGGCGCCTCCAGTCCCATGGCTGCTCACCTCCCCACCCTTCTGGCTCCCCGCAGCCGCAGGACACAGCCAGCTCCAAGCAGGGTTTGGCCTGGGGCTGTGGGCAACACAGTGTGAACAGAGACAACAGTGGGAGACGATGTTTGGGACCTCCCTGGGGGCCACAGCACCAGTGCTCCCCACCAGCAATCACATGGCAGACTGGTAGAGGATTTCTCCCCATCCATGTGCCAGGACCCGACTCCCACCATCGCCTCCCTGGTTGCTTCAGGGCCCATTGACAGTGATGGGCACCACCACAGCCAAAAGTGGCACAATGACACACACTCCAGGCCCCGTATTTGATTGCAACACTGGAGTGACAGATTTTCCATTACCTCTCGCTTGGGCGTTCCTGCTCCGCCTTTCCTTTCCAGTCCCATCACCTCGCCTCTCCCCATCCCCGTGCTCCTGCCAGGGACAGGGAGGGAGGATGGGAACACAAGGAGCTCTGCCTGAGACCTGAGACGTGGGTGCAGAGCTCCACAAACCAGGTACCAAACAGAGTCTCCTCAGGACCAGCCGGGCTTGCAGAGAGCTGCCTGCCAGCCCCAAGCCTCCGGCACCCACGGCCCTGGGAGCAGCACTGCTCCCGCAGACTGGTGGAAGAGGGAGAGAAGGACACCCAGGCCAGCCACCACAAACCCCTCTGCAGCCCTGCATCCCACAGCAGCTGGAGCTCAGGTGCCTACAAGGCAGGCAGCCTCCTGCAAACATGCACAGGAGACACCATGCCCTTCACAGGGGACTGAGACCTCGCACCGTCCCATCCCGCCCTCCCACAGATCACCCTCTACAGCTCCCGCTATTTTCCTGAGGGAAACACTGATGCTAATCAGCCCATCCTTCAGCTTCCCACAGAGGCATTCCCCCCCCGCCAGCCCCCGCCGCCCAGCAGGGCCCTGTGCTGGGAGCAGGGAACTGGAGCATCCTTAGTTACCATTCTGCAAGGTCCACGCACGCTCCAGGAGCGTCTGCCCTGAGACGTGGGGGCAGGCAGGTACCCAAGGAGCCCAGCCAGCCTTCGTGCTGGCAAGTCATGGGCCGTGCCAACACCTCCGTGCCGCCCGTGCTTGAAGAGCCGCTTCCTTTGTTAGGGATGGCTGTAAATCAAAATAGAGCCCTCCTGCCTCTCCTGCCGGGCCACCGCCATGCCCAGAGCCAAGGACAGCGGTTACTTATTAATTGCAGAGTGGCTTCTGCAGCTTGGATTTCTGCAGGGCCGCTCCACCGGCGCAGTGCTCCGCAGGGAGGGCACCCCCCGCCTCAGTGCACCCCCTGTCTGGCTGCACCCCTCTCCCCTGGCACGCTCAGGACATCAGCATCTCCTGTGGTCCCCTCTGACCATGCTAGGCGTGGACCCTCCTTGCTTCCCAGCTGGATGTGTCCATGTCCTTAGCCCTTCCCCAGTACCCCACCAGCAAACCGTCCCCAGAGAGCAGTTTTGCTGCAGACACAGATAGGAAAAAACCCTGGGGTTATTGGGTGACTCCCACGTGCTTTTAGGACACCCCTTCCCAAAGAAACAGCGCCTCAGCCTCCCACCGGCCCTCAGACACCCCAGCACGTGCGGAGAGCTCCCCAAAAACGGCCCGCTGGCGGACCCCGCTGCACGTGTGCTTGCCACATCCCTGGGGCTTTCTCCTGCCCTGCGCTTGAGATGGGAAAACAGGAAACCCCCTGCCGCCACGGTCCCCCCGCAGCTCCCTGGGAAGAGAGGACAGGAGGCGGAAAGGCTTGGCCAGGGCTCCCGGCGACCCTGCAAAACTCATTTAAGGCTAGAGATGCAAAAGGGAGCCGGGGAAAAGCGCGGCTGTTTGGCTGCCGGCGACTCTGGTCCCTCCGGCGCTTCCTGCCAGAAGAGATAAACCCAACCCCAACCCACCGCCACCTGCCAGAGAGGGATGGGAACCAGCCCCGACAGCCGC